GTGTGCCCAGGGACCCTCACACATCACCTTCAGCCTCTCCAGGGCATGCTGGGGACAAAACCATGGAATTACAGTAGGGAACAGCTCAGGGGGGTGGGAACCCCCAAGTTGTGCTCCTCCAGTTCAGGTTTGCACCCAGGAATGTTCTGTGCCCTGAGCTGGGATCCATTTGTGGGATCTTTGCCAGGGGATCAGCTCCATCACCACAAATTGGTCTATGATTAACTGGTTTTAGGTTCTGACTGAGATTTCCCCGTTAGGATTGGATTCAAATGCAGAATTCCAGCTCGTGAAGCCCTGAAGCCTGGCTCATAACAGAGGCAGAGCACTCGGAGTTTTCTCTGGCAAATTGAGAGGGCAAATCAAATTTCTTTGCTAATCTGTCTCAATAAATAAAGCAGTTTATGAGGCCAGCCATGAGTTTGGATAATTGCCTGTCAGAGCCTCGAAATGTAACAAATAAAGCTGGGCACTCTCCTGCTGGAGATGGAACATTCTCCTCCATGTATCCACTTTTTAGTTCCATTTTTGCTACAAATAACTCATTTTTAATTACATTGTTGGCCCCCAGTGGCCACTGTGGGCTCTCAGCAGCAACATTTCCCCTTCCTCGTTTTTTAATTCCACCTCAGCTCCCCCCAGCCTCCTGCACCCAGAGCTCCTGAAGTTGAATTTTGGTTGGTTTTGGGCTAATTACAGCTTTTTCCTAAGAGACAGCAGAGCTCTGAGGGAGCTGCTTCAGTCCCCGGGGTAAATATTGGTTGCTTTATGTGCTTTCATGGAGGAGTTTTTTATTCCTGCTTTTAAGGCACACAATGAGCTGGAAAGGGAAAGCAAAGCTGTGTTAAAAGGCAAGGAAGTCAGAATTAAAGCTCTCCCTGCCTTAAGTGCTGCTCCTCCAGACAATACCTTGGAATATTGGATAAATGTGGGGATGGCTGTGACCGCTCCTGGAATCTCCTGGCTCTGATTCCCACCTCAATCCTGGCTGGAATGGAGCTTTTCCCCCCTGACCCAGCCCTGGGATGGAGCCCAAGGACACAAAGGGGCACAAAGCACCCCCAGCCCAGGAGAATCCCAGGAGTAGGGAAAATCCCAGGAGCAGGGAAAATCCCAGGATTCCAGGAGCAGGGAAAATCCCAGGATTCCAGGAGCAGGGCAGAATCCCAGGATTCAGGCTCCAGACTGGATCTTTCCCTAGCACTGAGTCGCTTCTAAGGGAAAAAAGAAGAAAAAAGGAATACTTTTGGTGGCAAATGATAGATTTTCAGGGGTTAACAGAGCTCTCACTCCCATCTCTGGGGCTGCAAAGGGAGGGGGGAGAGCCCCAGGGAATTCCAGCAGAGCCCCAGGGAATTCCAGAGCTCCCAGGAGCTGCAGGGACTGTCACTGCAGCAGGAAAACCAACACCATTTCCCACTCCTCCATTTCCAGAGCCTCAGGGCTGGCAGGAGAACTGTTTGTCCAGACTCAGCACTGCTCTGGGGATTTGGGAATAACCACACGGAGAAACATCCCCGGGTCTGCTCTGTAATTGTCTTTGCAGCCCAGCTCAGATCATGCTGAGCAGGCTCTTCTGGGAGCTCCAAAAATCCTTAAAAATGAGCAGTAGAGCAAAAATTCCTGATGGTTTAATGGGAAGATCTGCAGCAGAGTCCTTTGGAAGCTTCAAAAATGCTCAAAAATGAGCAGTGGAGACAGAAATCCCTGATGGATCTCCAGCTGTGCAGCTCCAGGTGTGTTCTCTGTCAATCTGCTGGTCCAGGTGTGCTCCCAGATTTCCCTGGAAGCCTCAGTTCTGAGGAACCTGCCCATCCCAGGGCTCTGGGAGCACTGTGGAGAGGAAATCCCATGGCATTCCAGCTCCCCCAGCACCCCTAAATCCCGAGTTTACCTTGTCAGCAGCTGCCAGCAGGTCATCAGCCATCTTGTCCAGGTTTGGGGCCTTCCCAGTGTAAATGAAACACATCATTTCCTTGAAAACCTCGGGCTCCACGTCGTTGATCTCAACCCGGTTCTGCAGGGGGAAAACGGAGCCTTTTGGGGTCTGCCCAGGGCCTCCAGGGCTCCTCCTGCCCCAGAACCCTTCAGTGCCACAGGGAAATCAGGTACGAGGAGCTGGACTTGAGAAAGAAAGGGAAAAAAAGGGGGAAACGGAAGGGGGGGAAAAGGAAGGGGGGAAAAGGAAGGGGGGAAATGGAAGGGGGGAAATGAAATATGTGGATGGAGCAAGAACAACTCCATGCTGTATCCCACATTCTCCACCTGCCCCTGTCCCCCTCAGGCTCCTTCCCAAGGGAACAAAGGCACAGCTGACCCCGGATCCCTTTCCCTGCTCCCTGCAGGAGCAGAGGGGAGCAGCAGCAGTGCCAGGGGATGCCCTGGGCAGGGCCTTTCCCTTCTGGGGGTGCTGCTGGCTCTCACCTTTTTGCTCTCCTCCATCTCGTGCTCGAACATGGCGCTGAACACCGGGGAGCGCGCTGCGGGGGGAACGGGACCCCTGGGAGTGCTGCAGCCTCTGGGCAGGGCTGCTGCTGCTGCCAGCACCTCCCACAGGGACTGCCCAGGACAATGGCATTCCCAGAGCAGCTGGGGCTGCTCTGGATCCCTGGGAGTGTCCCAGGCCAGGCTGGATGGGGCTGGGAGCACCCTGGGATTGTGGACAGTGTCCCTGCCATGGATGAGCTCTGAGCTTCCTCCATCCCACACCATTGCCTCCATCCCACACCACTCCTCCCTCATTCTCCCATTCCCTCCACACCCCAAATCCCTCCATCCCAAACCATTCCCAAACCAATCCCTCCATCCCAAACAATTCCCTCCATCTCAAACCATTCCCTCCAACCCAAACCATTCCCAAACCACTCCCTCCAACCCAAACCATTGCCAAACCATTCCCTCCAATCCAAACCATTGCCAAACCAATCACTCCATCCCAAACCACTCCTTCCATCCCAAACCATTCCCTCCATCCCAGACCATTCCCAAACCACTCCCCCCACCCCAAACCATTCCCCTATTCCCTCCATCCCAAACCATTCCCAAACCAATCCCTCCATCCCAAACCACTCCCCCCACTCCCTACAACCCAAACCATTCCCAAACCATTCCCTCCATCCCAGACCATTCCCAAACCACTCCCCCCACCCCAAACCAGTGCCCATCTCCCCGGCAGCCCCAGGGCTCACCCACCTGCCAGGATGGCTTTGTGGCCCTTGAACTCCTGGCCGGCCACGCAGAGGCAGCAGTCGGTGAAGCGCGAGTTCTCCCAGAGCCCGCCCAGCTCGTCGGCCAGGCGGCACTCGGGCACCTTCACCATGTTCATGGTGTTCTGCCCCGAGATGTTCACCGAGTCCTGCACCACGCTCACCTGGGCACAGGGACACTCACACACTGCCCTGCCCTGCCCTGCAGCCCTGCCCAGGCACCGGGAGTAAAACTTCCCCGCTTTTAAAGGATCCTTTGCAGAGATCCCTGCAGCGGGTTGGGGGTTTGGGTGTCCATCCCAAATCCCAAACCCCACGGGCAGATTTCCCTCCCAGCCCCACGCTGACAGCACGTCCATGCAATTCAGGAGGTTTCTGAAGGAAGTGGAACCAGATTTTTGCTCTTTCCCGATTTTTTCCAGACACCACACCTGACCCAGTTTCTCCTTCCATGCTTGTGAAACCTCCCCAATCAATAATGCAACAGCCACCACTCCAGGGGAAATGAGGGACACACAGAGCTCCCAGAGCCCAGCACAGACCCCACAGGGGCAGGGGCTGACCCCTCAGTGCCCTCCTGCTTCTCCTCCCAGGAGAGCTAAATATTCTACAGCACAATTAAACCCCGCTCCAGACTGAGCTCCACAAAGCCCAGCTTTGTCAGACAGGGAGGGGGATCCGGAGCAGGCAGATTCCCAATCCCTGCTCCAAAGGTGAGGAATCTCCTCCAGAAGGGCCTCGCTGGGAGCCCGTGCAGCACCAGCCCCGTGGTTAAACCACAGCTGCAGCAGAGGCCAAGTAGCAAACTCAGTGATTAATTGTGCCCTGCTGCAAGCGGGAGTGATGGAGGGGAAGCAGAGGTGAGGCCATTCCCTGGATTTGCTGTGCAGCCCAAGGTAAATTCCAGTTCTGTTCAGGACCACTGGGCAAGGGAGAGCAAGGACAGCCAGGGAAGGTCCACAAGGTGGGAAAGGAGAAGGGAAGCAGGGAGTGAAGGAAAAGAAAAGAAAAAGAAAAAGAAAAAGAAAAAGAAAAAAGAAATCCCAGCCTTGGATGCCAAACTAGGTAAGGATTTGTTTCTGCCACGCCAGACTCTCCTTTCTCCTCCCATTTTGTGCTCAAGGAAGGGCTCCCTCCATCCCTAGGAATTTCTGCTGCTGATCAAACAACATTGAGATGTTTGCTCATTTAAACATGTGCATGATTGTGACGGCCAAAACCTGGGAAAAAAACCACCTCTAAAACAAACCAAAAACCCCCCAAAAATCCCAGCTGTCAAAGGACTTTGAAGCCCTTCTTTTATTCCTGAAAGAAAACACAGCAAAAGAAAAGACTCCCAGAAAAAACTGCAGGAGATGCAAGGAGAGAACAACTTGTTCTGCTCTCTTCTGGCAAAAAAAAAACAGCTCCAGGAGAGGGTTTGCAGTTAAAAAGACAATGGGAGTGAGGCAGAGGAAGCTCTGAAGACATTAAATTAGAGTTTCTATTTGCTCATTAAGGTTTTTCAACTTAAATCTCTGGGTTTGGAAATAACTGGCTGAATCTTTGCCTGGAATAGCACAAGTGAAATAATAATGATGTTGTAGAAAAACACCAACACGGTGACCAGAAAATGGTGATTACTGCAAAATTCCCTTTTCTCACATTTTTCTCTTTGCTTGCTGTGCAGACACATTGAAGGAAATAAACAGAAGCTCACTTTTATTGAGCAGGGCAGTTCCCAGTGCAAACCCAGGCTGTGATTATCCCAAGCAGGCCCCAAATCAAGGAGCACAAACAGAGGGGTGGGAACACCAAAGCACCAGGAAATGATCCTCAAACCTGCCCAGTTCCCACCACCACTCCAGGGAAAAGCCCAGCAGGAAGCAGCCAAAAGGCAGAGGGATGAAGCAGGCAGGGAAAAAGAAACAGAGTAGAGAACCCCACGGTGAGAACACCCAGCAGTGATCCCAACCCCATGAGAGCAGGGCAAGGGATGGCTCAGCCCTGCCTGGGGAGCTCTGTGGGGCTGGGGCTCTGTGGGGCTGGGGAGCTCTGAGGGGCTGGGGAGCTGTGTGGGGCTGGGAGCTGTGTGGGGCTGGGGAGCTGTGTGGGGCTGGGGTTCTGTGGGGCTGGGAGCTGTGTGGGGCTGGGGCTCTGTGTGGGGCTGGGGCTCTGTGGGGCTGGGGAGCTCTGTGGGGCTGGGAGCTGTGTGGGGCTGGCCTGGGAGCTCTGTGGGGCTGGGAGCTGTGTGGGGCTGGCCTGGGAGCTCTGTGGGGCTGGGAGCTGTGTGGGGCTGCAGCAGGCCTCACCTCACAGAACAGGGTCAGTTTGTCATCTGGCAGGAGCCCGTTGGCCTCGTCCAGCAGGAAATCTCTCCTGATGAACTTCTTGAAGCCCCAGTCCTTGCCTTGCACGAAGCGATAGGCGCGCTGGCTCTCTGCAGGGTAGGCCTGGCTTAACCCGGGCCGGGGCACAGCAAAGCCCAGAGCCTGGCCCAGGGCACAGCAAAGCCCAGAGCCTGGCCCAGGGACACAGCAAAGCCCAGAGCCTGGCCCAGGGACACAGCAAAGCCCAGAGCCTGGCCCAGGACACAGCAAAGCCCAGAGCCTGGCCCAGGGACACAGCAAAGCCCAGAGCCTGGCCCAGCTCACCCCATGAGGGGTTTCACCCACCCAGAGGGGTATCACCCACCCCAGGAGGGGTTTCTCTCCCCCAGAGGGGTCTCACTCCCCCCAGGAAGGGTCTCACTCACCCATGGCCTTGGTCTCCTCTCCCTTGGCGTTGAGGATGGAGAACTTGAACTTGGCTCTGACCTCGCTCTTGGGGCAGCTGACCAGCAGCAGGTACAGGGACAGGTAATCCTTGCTCTCCTCGTCCAGCCCCTTGGGGTTCACACGTAAACACCTGCAAAAGGGGGGTGGGAATGTCAGGGAGGGCACCGTGGCATTTTCACATTTGCACAGCAAACAAGGGCTGATAACGACCCCTGAGCCCCAGGGGAGCACGGGGGCTGGAAGGGGCAGAGCTGGGGTACAGCTGCACCCCCACATTGAGAAAAACACCCAGGAATTATGGCAGCCCACCAAATCCCTAGGGAAAAGAACAGGGAGAAGGGCTGGAATCACTGAGAAGCCCCCAGGATACCAATCCTCACAAAAGGAAAGTGAAATAAATAAAATGGAGGCAATGGCCTTGAGGAAGTACAACAAATGCACAGAAATGGTTGATAAAATTCCACAGGAGGCAACTGCAAGGAACAAGAGATTTCTGGAAGGTTGGTGGTTCTTCAACACAAAAAAACAGGGTTAAAAGGAAAAACACCTCCTGTGTGAAGAAAAGGCAGGAAGAGGCTCTTCCATGACCTGAAACATGACACAGAATCCACCAAGAACAAAAAGCAGACAGATAATGAACAGCTCCCACACACAGGGACCAAATCCACAGATCCAGATGTTCCAGGGAGGGCTGAGAGCAGAGGGGACAAAGGTGACAGGAACAAAGGCAGGCCAAGGAAAGCACAGCTCTGCCACCCAAAGGAGGGAGCTCACACTGTATCCCATGGATACAATTCATCCAGGGGCTGCTTTCCCACCAGTGGTACTGAAAAGGGAAATTCTGAACCACTCAGCAGCAGGCTAAAACCAGGAATCAGAGCCCATGGATGCACCAGGACACAGCTCAGAGCAGACACAGGCTCTGAGCAAAGTCCACTCTGAGTTACTGGAAATGACTGAGGCCTCGGGAAGATAAGCAAGGTTTAGAGGACAGGGAAAGGCCCAAATGAGGTCACCCTGAAGAGGCAGCAGCTCCTGGGCAGGAGCAGTGAGAGGATGCTGGCACCTCCCTCATCCCTGAGCTGCCACTCACAGAAAGGGAATTCACAGCAGGAAAAATTCACTTTAGAACCCCACAGAGTATGAAGGGCTGGATCTGGGGGGGTGATTTGGGCTGTGCACCCTCACAGCCTCACCTGGGTTCATCACAGAAATCTGCTTTGAAGGTAAAGATTGGTTTGTGTGCAAACCCTGCTGAGGTGTTGGGGCTCACACGTGCAGGATAACCGGGTTTTCATGGATTCCCTGGCCCAGCCCCACAGCCCAGCTGGGATGAGCCCCTCTCCCTGGGCCTCACCACTTGAGTTTGTCGTTGGCTCCAGAGGAAAAGGTCGAGCTCTTGATGACCTCCCCCATCTCCTCCCGGCAGAAGCTGAAGTTGTTGATGGTCCACATGTAGGAGAACTTCACCACCTTGATCTGCATGGAGAGAACAGAGCATGGGATCAGCCCTGCCCATCCCAGAGGGACAAAGTGCAGCCCCCAGCTCCAGGTGGGGGACCTGGCACGGAGCTCCAGGGCTCCTGAGAGACAACTGCAGTGTGGGGCTGGGGTAACTGCTGTGTAACTGCCGAGTAACTGCCCTGTGTGTGACTACAGTGATTGCTGTGCAACTGCTGCGTGTAACTAGAGCGTGTGACTGTGGTGTGTAACTGCAGTGTGTAACTGCAGTGTGTGATTGCTGCATTTAACTAGTGTGTAACTGCCCTGTGTATAACTCCCCCGTGTAACTGCCCTGTGTATAACTGCAGTGTGTAACTCCCCTGTGTAAGAGCCATGTGTGTAACTGCAGTGTGTGATTGCTGTCTTTAACTAAAGTGTGTAACTGCAGTATGTGATTGCTGTGTTTAACTAGTGTGTGTAACTCCCCTGTGTAAGTGCCCTCTGTGTAACTCCCCCATGTGTAACTGCAGTGTGTAACTCCCCTGTGTAAGTGCCCTGTGTGTAACTGCAGTGTGTGATTGCTGTGTTTAACTAGTGCGTAACTGCATTGTGTAATTCCCCCATGTAAGTGCCCTGTGTGTAATTGCCCTGCGTGTAACTGTAGTGTGTAAGTGCCCTGTGTGCAACTCCCTGTGTGTGACTGCAGTGTGTAAATGCCCTGTGTGTGACTCCCCTGTGTAAGTGCAGCCCCCAGCCCCAGCTGACCTGTGTGTAGCACCAGCTCTCGGCCACGGGCCCGCTGGACATCTCTGCCGGAGGGGGGGGACTCGGCACCCTGGACATCGCCAGCTTGGAATCGGGCAGGGCACAGGCGGCAGGAAACGGAGATCTGGGACCTGGGAGAGAGGAACCACAGAGATCAGAACCAGCAGG